TATTTACCGCAAAATGAAAATATCCCCAGCATGTCATCACTCGGTGACTAGGCTAACAATACCCTCACACAGCCAGAGTTTTTAATGTCATGTTTTCTATAAGTTAGCATGAAGTGCTAATAAATGGGGTATAGGGGTACTTGCTCCCCCACCTAGGTAATGTATAGAAGGTAGGAAAGGTTAGGTTTGGTACCCTTGTTTTGGGAATTTGTCTCGGGAGAGCATGTCACTCTCGGTAACAAATACCCTTGTAAATAGTATTCATTCTTTCAATTATTCACACTGTAATGTGTGAATCTTGTTATTTTCTATTGTGGTAATTCTTTACAGTACAAATGCACTTGCCAGAGACTAAGTACCCAACTCCATGTTACAGAATATATATAACAATTTAAATTGCTATGACTGGGCATTCCCTCTAGGCACTGCTAAGGGGAGGGTTGACGTGGGGTTCTGCCCCCAACACCACATAGGAAACATTGTCTTTACTTCATCCTTCTTGTGATCAATTTATGAAGGTTGCACCATTGATGAAAGGTGTCTGACTTCCAGTCATTCTGTCCATTTTATTCAATTTTTACCTGCTACTACATAGCTGTGGGAAACAAATTGTCCAAATTTTATCTAGTGAAATGGTGTTAGTTTCCCCGATACCTTCCATGTCAATATTGTGGGTTTTCGAGGTGTCTCCACAGCATAATTTATATATGCAAAGGTATTAGAGTACGAGATGAATCCATTGATACCAATATTATTGTGATCAGTGGGAAGGTTGTCTGAATAATTACTAAAAGTTGTGCAACAGGCAAGTCATACATTCACATATTGACTGGTGTACTAATATGGGAAAAAATTAGTGACCAGAAAGGAAGAAAATAAGTTATGATAAATGCTGTGCAGAGACTAAGTTCATTGTGATCAGGTGCAGATTTAGATGCTGAACCCAAAGTAGGGAAATATGGCGAGCTAGGAAGGATTTTAGTTCACAGAGCACCTAAACAATGATGATGCCACTATCAAATGAAATTGTGTAGAAATAATAAGCACATTTAAGGAATATAAAGCTGGGAATTGCAATGTTTATTATAAAACCATGAAAATTTATATAAATCTTTAAAATTGCATGTGCAGTTGACTAAGTATTTATTAGCAGACTGTATATTCTCTTGTCATGCCTCATTTGCCAATTGGTAACTATCCATACTATTCCACTCAACCTCCAGTAAAGTTGCAAGGATAGGATTATTTTAACTGAGAAGTTGTGGGAAGCTGGAAATTTGGATATTACTGCCAACCTGTTGTCCAAAAAATGATACTGTTACCTTAGCTGGCTTGTTATGATTAAATTTGAGGGTTTCATAGATTTTTCAGTATTCACTTGTACTGTATTGATTCATGCTCTTCCCACTTTTCTCATAGATGTATGTAATTGGGTGGGAAGTCTACAGAATATTTAGATGGATAGCATAAATCAAATGAATGTATATTTGGAAAATTAGGGAAGTATTTTTACCTGATATACAATACTGTGGGATTGCATATTTAAGGTTGAGCTTTGCAGTTATCAGTAGGTTACCTTTGCATTTTGTATGGGAAAAGCAAAGATTTAAAATTTTTAATGTTTTTCCATTTTATTTTGCTCACTGAGATGTATATTTGTGTTGTATTGGCCTCCCATATGATAATCATATTTGTAAGAAAGTTGCATTGTGCTTGAATATTGTTTGTTGGTTTATTCATAATCATCCTATAAATTTCTTTCACATACATACATCCCTTCATTATCATTTTGCTTTCCTTCTTACCATGCCAGCACCTGCAAGATGGGCTGTCCTCTGGCAGAAGAGCAAAATGGCAGTGGAAACCAGTTTGTTCAGTAGCCTGAGATTGAGATAGAGATTTTATTTGATAGTTTCTCTTAAGCTCTGTCTTTAGGATATTCCAAAACACTTTTTTATGTGGTGTTCTTAAGTTGAGTTTTTGTGAATTTTTAGTCACTTCATCCTAAAGGCCCCACTATATAATGTGTGTGTGTGGGTGGCTGAAGCATAGCTGATTAGATATGATAGAATTCCTACTAGATTTATATATAGATAGATAGATAGATATTTTATATATATATATATTTTTTTCTTTTCTATTTTTTTCAATACAAGTTTTATAAAAAGAAAGGCCAAAAGATACAGTTGTGTGTGTGTGTATATATATATATATATATATATATATATATATATATATATATATATATATATATATATATATATATATATATATATATATATATACACATGTATGTATCAATGCATGGATATTACATTCATATTGTTTCCTTTGTTATTTAGTTTAATTTTTCATTTAGTGATTATATATTGCTTGTGCTTTGACTTATGTCATAATCACTGATTGGTGATTAGAATTGCATACACTAGTACTGCACAATACAATTCTGTTACAGTTTGCCTCTGTAGTCAACACATTTCTGATTTTCTCCCCAATGCAGATGAATGCAAGCTAGAGAAGCAGAATTATATATTTTACTTCGTGGGATGCTCAGCTGAACTTGGGGAAAATGGCTCCTAAAAACACCACTCAGCTGCTGAAGAACCTCCGTGTGTTGATGAAAAACACAACCTATGTTCCCCAGGCTCTACATGCTTACATTGTACCTTCAGGAGATGCTCATCAGGTGATTGTCCAATGGTTGAAATGATATTTTTAAATTTATTTTTGAAACTCAAATATTTGTATTAGAACAAAATACCAGGAGTTTATTATGGAAATTTACTTTGTATTAATGAGTTGTTGTTTTTCTTTTCTAGAGTGAATACATAGCACCATGTGATCAACGGAGAGCTTTTATTACTGGATTCACAGGGTCAGCTGGCACAGCCATTATCACAGATTCTGAAGCAGCTTTGTGGACTGATGGCAGATATTACCTCCAAGCAAGGCAGGAAATGGATGAAAATTGGACTTTGATGAAACAAGGTCAGTATTCAGGTTCTTATCTTGGATTGTCAGACATGAATGTTGGAGAAATTAATCTTCTATTTCGTTAGGAAATAAGTTTAGTGAGATAAGAATTTTCTTATTAGTTTTGAATAAATTATAAACATTAATGGTCCTTTTATTTTTACTTTAATGCAGTGGGAAATTTCATTATAGTCACTAATAATTTGAATTAATAAACATAAATTTCACCTAATAGCTTTAAGTTTTTATGATCATTGTTAGGTGTTTCTAACATAATAATAATATAAAGTGTTTTTTTTTCTACATTTTGTGAAATTATTTCTTGTTTTTCCAATCTTTATATGCAGTACATGTGTATGACTAGGAAAATAACAGCTGATGAAAAATCATTAATATTATGCTCAAAACCTTGTAAAGTAGAAATTCTTAAAACCATAAAAGCATCAAAATTTACTTGCCCTCCAGGACTCCCTAACACCCCAACTGAAGCCAAATGGCTGAGCAAAACCCTGCATGTGGGCTCCACTGTGGGCGTGGACCCTTACCTCCTAGAGGCTGAATGGTGGCGTGACCTTGCCAGGGAGCTGAAAGGTGCAGGCCATGTCGTTGTACCTGTCCCTGAGAATCTTGTCGACCTGGTTTGGAATGACCGCCCTGCACGCCCAGCCAAGCCTATTGTACCTCTTGAGGTAAGTTGCAGTTGATTTTGTTATGTATATATGTTTATATGCATGTATATATATTCCTATTTAAATATCTATATATCTATATATCTATATATCTATATATCTATATATCTATATATCTATATATCTATATATCTATATATCTATATATCTATATATCTATATATCTATATATCTATATATATATATATATATATATATATATATATATATATATATATATATATATATATATATATATATATATATATATATATATATATATATATATATATATATATAGATATAGATATAGATATAGATATAGATATAGATATAGATATGTATATATATATATTTAAATATGTGTCTATGTCTGTCTGTGTATCTGTATATCTATATTTATATATCTATCTATCAATACATATATATGTATTTATACATATATACGTGTGTGTGTGTGTGTGTGTGTGTGTGTGTGTGTGTGTGTGTGTGTGTGTGTGTGTGTGTGTGTGTGTGTGTGTGTGTGTGTGTGTGTGTGTGTGTGTGTGTGTGTGTGTGTGTGTGTGCGTATACACATACACATACATATACACATACATTTACACATACATTTACACATACATTTACACATACATTTACACATACATTTACACATACATTTACACATACATTTACACATACATATACACATACATATACACATACATATACATATACACATACATATACACATACATATATATATGTGTAAATATATATTTATATATACAAATATATATAAGAAAAGTTGTATATGTTAATTCTTTTATTTGTTTCCCTGTCATATATCAACTTAGGCTGCTGTTTATCCCTTGATCTTGTATATGAAACCCTTTGATAAATCAGTTTGCATTGATCCTTTAGGTTAAGTACACTGGGAAGAGTCTGTCAGAGAAAGTGGAGGAGCTCAGAGAAAAGTTGGAGGAGGAAAATGCATCGATGATCATAATAACTGCCTTAGACGAAGTTGCTTGTAAGTATTTATTTTGCTTGTTTCAAGCTCTTGTTAGTTGTTGTGATGTATTACAAACCAAAGCCTGTCAGAGTCAAGTTTTATGAAATCACTTTATATTCTTCTTCCAGATCTGTATAATCTGAGAGGTTCGGACATTGAGTACAATCCAGTGTTCTTCTCCTATGGTGTTGTAACACAGAAAGAGGCCTTTTTATTTGTTAATGTATCTCAGCTAACCTCAGCTGCGAGGGAAGCTCTCCAGGCTGAGGAAGTGAAGGTCACCATTAAGCCATATGATGAACTTGCTATGTTTATTAGTGAACAGGTAAGGATGGTGTATTTAAGTGCTTCTCAAAGCTTTTTAT